GGGAAGGTCCCGGTCTCTGCCTGTGACACTAACCGGATCCCAGTGTTCAAGGGACGAAGCATGGGTGGCCTCCCTGGCGGCCAGGGCAATGGGGACACAGGGTCTGAGCTCAGCAGAGCAGCCAGGCCTGGCGATCCCTGCCACGTGTGGGATTTCTGGGACAGGCAGCAGTGGCTCAGCGGTGTCCAGGGCTGGGGCAGGGCATTCTCAGAGCCGCCTGTTTGTGGCAGCTCATCCTTCCATCCTTCCCTTCTTCCAGGTAGGGGCTGAACTTGCAAGGTCCCTCTCCGGCTCCCCTTCTCCTGACTAGGCTGTGGGCGTCTGACCCATCTCAGTCTCTGCCTCTCAGAGGCCTCCCAGGGACTCCGCCACCCGCGGTGCGACTGACTATCGGTGTGGACCGTGGGTTGGCCGAGCTGCAGCTGCTCCCCCACACTGTGGACTGGTGCTCGGAGGGGCCGTTCCTCCCCTCACCGCGATGCCTGCTTCCCCTCTGACCGCAACCTGGACTGCATTTATGCCTCCAGATCTTACCCCCATGTAGTCCCTGGTTTTCGTTTTTGGTTTTCATTTTGGTACTGGGAATCCAACTCGGGAGGCGGGTGGCAGAACCACTGAGCTAAATCCTAGGCCCCCTGGTTTTTATTTTTAAAGATTCTTTAAAAGATCATTTCCTAGACCTTCAGAAGAAATTCAGAGGATTAATATTTCAGGCTCTCTGCTCACTCTGCCATTAGCTGGAAATATTTTTTTCTCCACCGAATTTCCTTTTGCCAGCCTGTAGAGTAAGCGCTGTCTCTGGCTTCCCAGATTGCCTGAGGCCAGCATGGCCTTACGACAGAGAATCTTCTCGAAGCCTGAGGGTCTGTTTCGCACACAAGCTCCTGCTGCAATCAGTGTACACATCCCAGCACCCTATGTCATTTGCTTCCGGTCAGGTCATTTTTTTTCCCCCTTCGTTGTTATTCTTTTGTTCTTTCAAATTCAGCCATATTTGGGCTTGGGTTGGTCTTTGAGTATCGTTGATTTTATTTATTTATTTTGATATTTTGAGACAGGGTCTCACTGTGTAGCCCAGGCTGGCCTCAAACTCTTGGCAACTCCCCTGCCTCAGCCTCCCGAGTGCTGGGATCACAGGTGTGTGCCACCCTGCCCATTCGCCCACGGGGTTCACCTGAGCATGACCCAGGTGACCTGTGTTCCCTTTCTGAGGTTTTCTCTGGGCAGGGGGCGGGGGCGCTACGCATAAACTTTGTGCTTGTCTTTCAGTTCTTGGTTTTCTACTGTTGTGACTTCTCTGAGCTTCCTGCTCTTTGGTGTTGTAACGGTGGTCATTCAGACCTGTGTTGCACATGGGACTGCTTTTCTTATCAGATAAAACTTATCTTGTGGATGCCTGGTTACATTGGCTATTTTTTTGAGACAGGCCTGTGGGTATTTTGACATTTCATCTAGAGGACGCAGGCTATCGGTCTGCGTGGACTCTGTCGCCCCCTGTAGAAGCCGTTAACACAGGCCCAGAGTTTGGGACCCTCCTCGCCAGAGATTCCGGTGCACAACCCCAGGAGGTGCTGTTCCACACCCTGCAGGTTCCTAATCTTTAAGTAACAGGAGATGTTTTCTCCCAGATCCCTGAGAGACGTTCACACATAGGAAAGCACAGACTCTTAGAGAGCCACAGCATCGCTGGGCATGGTGGCGCACGCCTATAATCCCAGCACTCGGGAGGCTGAGGCAGGAGGATTGCTGTGAGTTCGAGACCAGCCTGGGCTACATAGTGAGTTTCAGGTCAGTCTCAACTACATAGTGAGACCCTGTCTCAAAAAACCAAAAAACAAACAAACAAACAAAACAAAATAAAAATAAAAATGAAAAAGAAAGCCACAGCATCAAACAATGTATGTAAAATGTTCAGCCCGGACCACTTTGTATGTCTATAAGCATTAATCTACTATATATAATGTTTTCTTTTTAATTAAAGGTTGAAGAGTTTGGGAATGATATTTCATATAGGACCTTAAAAATGCTGAAATTTTCTCTTCCTACAGGTGCTCTAGGGAGCTGTAGGGATGAGAAATAATAGAACGGGGAATTCTCCACAATAACTATGTAGTAAAACCCTGTCTCAAAACCAAAAAACAAACAAACAAACAAAACAAAATAAAAATAAAAATGAAAAAGAAAGCCACAGCATCAAACAATGTATGTAAAATGTTCAGCCCGGACCACTTTGTATGTCTATAAGCATTAATCTACTATATATAATGTTTTCTTTTTAATTAAAGGTTGAAGAGTTTGGGAATGATATTTCATATAGGACCTTAAAAATGCTGAAATTTTCTCTTCCTACAGGTGCTCTAGGGAGCTGTAGGGATGAGAAATAATAGAACGGGGAATTCTCCACAATAACTATGTAGTAAAGATATGAGTCTTAGGGATATTATTGTGGAATTTTTTTTGTTTCCTAGTAAAACATTAAACTCATTAATAAGCTACTGGCTAGATGAGTTATGGTGTCTCCACAGAGTAGAATACAATAAAACTGTTAGACAGAAACAGTTTCCTTGGGTACTAGTCATGGAGGCCCAGGCCTGTAATCCTAGCACTTAGGAAGCTGAGCCAGGAGGATCTTTGCTAGTTCATGCACAGACTGAGTTACATAATTAGTTCAAGGCACCTGAACTACATAGCAAGACCCTGCCTCAAAAATTAAAAAAAAGACATTTTTTTTAAAGAAGAAAAAGAAGGAGGAGGCAGAGGAGAAGAAGAAAGAAAAAATTGCTTCATGGACACAGATGTGGAACAATTTCCAAGAAACATTTTTTTGGTACCGGGGATCAAATTCAGGACCTTGCCACTGAGCTAAATCCCTGACCCTCCAAGAAATATTATTTGAAAACCAAGGAATAGAACAGTAGGTATAATTCCAAAGTTCTAAAGATATCATGGGTGCCCGTGTATGTAAAAATGCACATATGCACACACTTGGGGACATTTCTGGGGAAAGTATGTGAGAACAGGAACCCATGGTTGCCTCTGGAAAGAACAGCCCAGGCCCAGGGGACCCTGAAGGCTGACTGTCTTTGGCACATTCGCCTGTATTGTTTTTCTAACTTATTGAGTGCATGGGCTCATTTCTAATTAGAAAAACCTAGGAGAACAGCAGAAGCTATATACACAGTCACTGCACTGGTCACCAGGGCAGGTTTCTCTGGCGACAGACCCTGTGCATTAGGGGACCCTGAAGGCCCGGGTGTAGGAGGCACAGAACAGGGTGCAGAGGGGGTATGGCCAAGCCAGGGCTCCAACCTCTGGGGTTGAGCAGCGTGGACAACTTCTCAGTGCGGGACCCGGTGTACCGGTGAACACGGCCCAGCCATGGTCCCTCGATGAAAGGAGGGGCAGAGGAGACAAGTAGGGGAGGATGTAAGCTGGGCCATCTGTGAATTCTCCCCATGGTGTCGATGGTTCTGGAGGCCTGGGCTGAACATCTGGCTTTGATCGCCTCCTCGATACAGCCTCAGACCGCGTCCCTGTACAACCGCACCATGGCCTTGCTCTCTGCCCTTCTGCCTCTGCTGTCCCACCTGTCTAAAGGGCTTTGCTTGTCCCGGGCCGACCCCAGGCCCTCACTATCCTCTCTGGGGTTGTCATTTCCTCCACAGATCTCCACTTTCTGTCTGGATTTCTCTTTAGGTAACAGGAGGTGGCAGCAGCTGCAGATCCTGCAAAGCCTCACAGGAAGATCTCAAGCAGAGATCTACTGTGTGACCGTGCCCTGGAGGGGTCCTGTCCTCTAGAGGGGGAACAAGCTAATTCCTGTGGTGGAGGTGGGGATGTGGTGCCCTGATTGCAGCCATCCCTGCGGCCAGGGAGCTCTGTTCAACTCTGAGAAAGTGGGCAAGGGACAGCAGAGGAGACAGTGAATAAGGAGCGGCTGAGTGTGGGGAGCAGTGTTTGAATCCCTCATCAAGCAGTACCTGCATGGAGCCCTACCTGGTTTTCATGTTTCCCATGAAATTCTCTCTTTCCCTGCTTAACCCAGTTTGGGTCAGAAGTTCTTTTGTTACGACTTTCAAGAGAGGTTCTGATTGAAAAAAGGGAGAGACATTCAAGTATAGAAGGGTTCCACCTTTGTGAAAGAAAATGTGTGTTTCAGCCAGGTGTGGTGGTGCACACCTGTAATTCCAGCACTCAGGAAGCTGAGGCAGGAGGATCATGGGGGACTGAGGCCAGCGTAGAATACATAGTGAGCTCAAGCCCAGCATGACCTACATAGTGAGACCCTGGTGTGTGTGTGTGTGTGTGTGTGTGTGTGTGTGTGTGTGTGTGTGTGTGTGTAGAACAGGAGGATGGCACATTTGAGCCCAGGCCAGGCAACTCAGTTACTTAGCAAAGACTTTGTCTCAAAATATAAAAGGACTAGGGACGTAGTTCAAGGTGAAAGCCCTGGATTGAATCTCTAATATAGGAACACACCACACACAGAAATGACACAGAGAGGGACAGACAGACAGACACTGAAATGATATACAGACATCCCTACCAACTTGCAGTGGTCTGACTTACAATTTTTCAGCTATAAAACGGTGGGAAAATGCACCCAGACAAACATTGTTTTACACTTTCCTTACTTTATTCAACAAACAAAGCTGCATGAGCTATTCAACATTCGCTTGTAAAATGAGCTTTGTGTTTGCCGGCTTTGCCCGACGGCAGGCAAGTGTGCCAGTGTGTCCCATGCAGCCTCGGAGGGTGTAGGTCCGGGGCATCAAGAGTGCTTTTTAACTTACAGTTTTGTACCTTATGATGGGTTTGTCAGGACACAGCACCGTTGTAAATCTGCCTCTGCTAGGGCTGCCCAATTGGGTGTCCCCTTCCCGTTCTGTGCCGTCCTTCACGGCCAAGTGAGCAGGAGCTGCTGTGGGACCCGGGGGAGGAAGTGTCCGTGATTCCGACCAAGCCCTCTGGGTCCATCACTGCCTGCCCTTGCCTTGCAGGGAAGGACATGAGCCGGCACAACGCCAGCAGGAACTGCTCATTCAGCGACGTGGACGAGCTGATGAAGACCGTGCAGATGGCCGTCCACATCCCCACCTTCCTCCTGGGCCTGCTCCTCAACCTGCTGGCCATCCGCGGCTTCGGCAGCTTCCTCAAGAAGAGGTGGCCCGAGTACGCGGCCACCTCCATCTACATGATCAACCTGGCCGTCTTTGACCTGCTGCTGGTGCTCTCGCTCCCGTTCAAGATGGTGCTGTCGCACGTGCGGCCCCCGGCCCCCGCCTTCTGCACGCTGGTGGAGTGCCTCTACTTCATCAGCATGTACGGCAGCGTCTTCACCATCTGCTGCATCAGCCTGGACAGGTTCCTGGCCATCCGGTACCCGCTCCTGGCCAGCTACCTCCGCTCCCCCACCAAGACCTTCGGGACCTGCTGCGTCATCTGGGTCCTGGTGTGGGCCGGGAGCGTCCCCGTCTACAGCTTCCACGCGAAGGTGGGGAAGTACAGGTGCTTCCACAACATGTCCGACAGCACCTGGAGCGCCAAGGTCTTCTTCCCCCTCGAGGTGTTCGGCTTCCTGCTGCCCATGGCCATCATGGGCTTCTGCTCCTCCATGAGCATCCACATCCTGCTCGGCCTCCGGGACCGCAGGTATGGAGCCTGCATCTGGACCATCGCGGCCAGCTTGGTCGTCTTCGTGGTCTCCTTTCTTCCGGTCCACCTGGGTTTCTTCCTGCAGTTCCTGGTGAGGAATGGCTTTATCGTGGAGTGCAGAGCCAGGCAGGGCATCAGCCTGTTCTTGCAGTTGTCTATGTGTTTCTCCAACATCAACTGCTGCCTGGACGTTTTCTGCTACTACTTCGTTATCAAAGAATTCCGCGCGGACATCATGGCCCGCCGCTTGTCCCGGGTCCAGCTGGTCCGCCAGGACACCGTGATCACCAGGGGCTGAGGGAAGAAGAAACCCCATCCCCAAGTGCTCCCAAGAGACATCCCGAGCTAGCTGGTGTCCTTCCCCTCCGCTGCCCACTGAACACCATCTTTATGCTTTGTATCCTGAAGACTTTTCCACGGTGTCTAGTCAGCTGGATGTACATCGCCCCGCAGTTGGTCTTTGCTGAAGAACCTAAGGACCAGGCGGATTCTTCATTTCTAAGTCCAAAGGGGTAGGAAGCAGAAGACTTGAAAAGAATGCACCTGAAAAAGGCTGTTCCCCAACTCTCCCCTCCTTCCAGTTGACTGGAAGATTCTGGAAAGACACAGAGAGGAGAGAGGAGTCAGGGAAGGAATGAAGAGAGTTGCAGTGGAGGTGTCTTGAGTAGAGATGGATGGTAGGGAAGGCAGGTTCTGGGATGGAGGAAACCTACACCTTCTATCCCTCCTGGAGCCCTGCTGAGGAGGGCTGCGCCGGCCAGGCCATGGCGGGAAGAAACGTTGGGCGCTTACGGGTCAACGGGAACAGAGTGGAAAAGCATTAGTGACACCCTAGAGACACCAGGATATCTCTGGGGAGGAAGGAGATGGGGCCGGAAGTGGACTCTCTGATTACCACTGGGGTGTCTGACAGCGTGTCAGCACCGGTCTGGGACACACTCAGCTTCCTGTCTTGAACAGGGAGGGAAGTTGTTCCTTAGACCTAGTATGAAGACAGAGGGAAAGAATCAGTCTTGACTAGGGGCAGCCACAGCAGAATGAAGGGTTTATCCTGTTCCCTGGGTCCTGTTGGGCAGCCGGCACTGGTGGCAATGCCCAGAAAGCTGCCCCTCTGTGGTGGCTGGCGGGGAGGAGGCGAGGGAGCCTGAATCAGACAGCAAGAGGGCCTTGGCAGTTCCAGGAGGGGTGATGTTTGGATCCATCCATGGGCTCCAGTGATGCTCCTCAGGAGGGAGCAGGAGGGGACAGCCTAATGCCTTCCGGGGGCTCAGCTGTTCCAGAGTGAAGTGATTCAAAGGATAAACTGGGATGTAATTTGCAAGAGGGAAGGAGTGGAGTGAGAAGAAACCGCAGAGACAGTATGAATGGGGCTAAGGTCTTTCGGAGAAGCAACCGAGACCAATCTGGAGGATGAGGGGCTTTGGCTGAGGGCTGGGAGAAAGTGTGGCCTGTGGGGGACACACCATGAGGGAAAGAGCGCCATCTAGATGAAACCTGGGACCTGCCTAAGAGGCGGAGGTAGGGAGGAGGAGGGGGAGAGGGGGAGAGAGAGGGGGAGAAGTTCAGAGACTGCCCAGCTGCTCGCGTGAAGGGAGTGGGGATGCGGTGGGGACAGGGTGGGCAGGAAGGGGGCGGGCGGGCTGCTTCCTGTCAGCATCCCTCCGCCCAAGACCGAGAGCCACTGAAGGACAGGGGCCCCCAGCACCCCCCTGTGGCAAAGTTCAGTGGCATTCTAGGTGGCTGGCTGGAAAGCTTAGGGAGAAAGCATCTCAGCAGTGTGGAAGCGGGTGTGGAGGGGCACAGGAGCAGGGCCAGAGCTCCAGAACTGGCAGCCACAGCCAGGGCTCTGCAGACCCAGGGGTGAGGCCGTCCCTATCCGCTGGCCCAAGCCCTGGACTCCCCACCCCTGCCTATGGGCTGCACCATCCCATGGCCATCTGGGCACAGACCCCTACACTGAGAAGGCCATATAGTGACAGAACAGGGCACCTGGGGCTGGTTTGGGTGAGGGACTGTGGTGGAGTTGGGGGCCACCCCTTGTGCAGCTTCTCTTTGTCTGGGGAGAGCTGGGAGCCCCCCTCATGGCACTGAGCAGTGTCCCTCGTGCACACTGGGGCCTGCCACGTGCTTAGGGCTGGCAGCTTCCAGACAGCAAAGGCCCAGAAGCCCAAGCACCTGTCCCCCTGTGCCATGTTTAAAACTGAAATCTGGTCTATGTAGTGTGACTCTGTCCACAATAGTCAGGGGACTTTGAGAGCAGAATCATCAAAGGAGAAGGGAGTCTGGAGCCATAAACATCGAAACTGGAAGGGGCTGGTTGGCGGGGTCAAGCAGCTTGAGCTCGATGTGGTGACCAAGGACCCTGTCCATCGCAGAGCACTGCGGTCCTTCTCCACCTTTCCCCCCGGGGGTACTTCCGGCCCAAGAGGCTGTGGGAGGGACAGGTTGAGCATTACAGGTGTGTGGTTGCTCTCTTGGAAGGTCCAAACACTGGGCCCGGGCAGCCACACCCAGCAGTTGGCTGATCAGCGCAGGAGGAGATGAAGGAAGGCAGGGTTAGGGGTCAGGGCTAGAGCTGGGGTCGGGGTGAAGGTGAAGATGGATCACAGGGCGCCCCCTGCAGCAAATGCCAGCCAGTGAGTCAGGGAAGCCGGAACCCACCAGTGGAAGAGCCTGAAATCCCTACTGCCGAAGCCATGGGGCGGAAGTGTCCTTTGACCATCAGAGTGTGTACTCCCAGCCCGGAAAGCCCTGAGACGTGCCGGCTGTATGTACATCCATAGAACCAGCACAATGATTGGAAAAGCAATACGATTTGTCTGATTTACTAAATAAACAGATTTGTACAATGCACTGTGAGCTTGTCTTGGCTACCCTTTTTGGCTCCAGAGAGCCTTGGGTCCCTGCCAGGGGACCCATCCTTCGAGTGACCTGGATACTAAGTGTGGCACTGCAGTACACCTGTCCCAGAGCAGGTTAGAGCTGAGCTTTCTCCTGGGCCCCTCATATGGGAGTTTCAGAGGAGTGGAACCCTTGGTAGGTGTGACCTGCTGCCTTCCAGCCCAGGCCACCCCTTTTTCCTGAGCCATCCTCCCCCCGGTTCTGAACATGGAGCAGTCATCCCCTGGCTGCCAGGGCTGACCGGGGAGGGCCATCCTCCCTCCTTGACAGTCATTTTCTGTCAACCCTCGAGGCATCGGCTGATTCCCAGGGTTTGGGAGGATTTGACTTGGGGGAGGTCGGTCCATACACAGCGCTGTTTTTGTTAACTCTGTGTCTTGATTCCACCTTCCAGGGACCCTACAGAGCTGAAAGTCATTATATTAATGCTACGTAGTAGCTACAGGGATATTAAGAATTTCCTTGTGTCAGATTTCACCCTTGTAGCAAGTTGTCACAAATCAAGTCATTGTGCGAAGATGCTTGAAATGACTGAGACCCACTGGGCAATTGTAGAGACTTGTGGGGATTAAAAAGGGTCTGGTGCATGGGTCAGTGAGGAGGAAACTGGGGGGCTGCCTGTGTGGGTGTGAGGAGAGCCAGCATCTCCAGGCAGGGGGAGAGACATCCCCCCCACCAGAGCAACGCTGCTGAGCCATCCTCCTCCACTCACCCAGAGGCCACCCAGAGGCCATGCTCCCTGAGGCCACCGTGAGAGCGCAACTCTGAGGAGGCCGCTGTGGGAACCCAGTCCGAAAAAGTCAGCGACTCAAACACCCACATCAGTGCTACCTGAGGGGCCGTACTCTGAGACTGCCGCCTGGGGCTGGAGCTGAGGGACGCACAAGTGTCTCGCCCCCCTTCAGCCCGAGTGTTGCCTTCCAGCCAGGAGCCCAAGCAGCGAGGTGAGGTGAGCCGCAGTCCGGGGGAGGCAGCCAGCCGCAGTCACTTCAAAGGGACCTTGAGGAGGAGGCGCTGAGTTCACTTGGGGGCTCAGGCACAGGCTTTGGTCTGGGGCTGTTACCCATAAGTGCAACCAAAAGGCACCTGTGCAGGCAGAGCACAGTCCCACAAAGGGCTGTTTAGGGCAATCTGCTGAGTGGGTCCCTTCTAGAAGCCCCTCTTCACTGAGATGGCTCAGGATTGCACATCTGGTACACACACGCGTGGACACACACATACATGTGTGTGTTTCTCTCTGTCAGTCGTGTCTCATACATAGGTCAAGGAATCTGAGGGGCCACTTCTCACAGACAGCACATTTCAGATGCACTGAGCAGTGCTGTCACCAACCTTGAGACCAAGATGGAGGCCCGGGGGAAGATGGGGTTCCCCAGAAGGCCTGGGGGGGCCCTGGATGCTTGAGGACGGCTCCAGAGCCTGGCCTGAGGGCAGGCCATGTTTGGGGGGTGCTCCCGGTAGCCCTGGGTAGTGGGGAGACCTCCTGTCCATGAGATGGACTGGATATTATGGGCACTGAACCAAGGCCAGGGACCCAGAAATGCTTTGGGAAGGGAACCGAGCGGATCCCTGCACAGAGCGTGGGTGGCAGGTCATCATTCCTTGAATAGTAAAGAATCCAGCCGCTGTGTCATTTCCACTGTGGGGACACATGGAGCTGAGTCTTGATGGGTAACGGAGCTACAAAATGTCCCCATTTCCTCCCGAGGGTTCTATGCTGCAATTCAGACAGAGCGGCTCTGTTGGCCCCGGCCCCTCGAGTTCTAGCGGGGTGTCCTCACTTGCAGAAATGCCCCTTTAGGGTCCTGGCCCTGGTGCCCATTGAGAGCCCCTCTAGCCATGGGGTCTGTGTCACTTTTGGGCACAAGGCTCCCTCCTGCTGTCTCCAAACCCTCAGGGTCCTGTGCTCTGGACCCTTCTGGCCCATCTCCCTTCAGCCAAATGCTTGCCTGAGCCCTGCCCTTCCAGGCTGGGGGCCGCACTCTGACCCCTCTACTTCGGCCACCTCCCCTGGCCCGGCAGGCACCACGCTCCGTCCCTCCAAATTCCGCAGTCTTTCTCCAGCTGGCCTCTGGGCTCTGTGGGAAGGGAAGGAGCAGCACTGCAACCGTCCAGCCCACACCGATCCAGTCCTGCTACGGATGGTCCCGATGGGCAGTGCCTGCTGCTCTGCACACACAGGACAGGGCAGGACCAACAGGCCAGGTCACCCTCAGTGGACGGGACAGTTTGGCACCTTCAGCTCAACTCAGTTGGCATCACAGCCCCTAGGCAATTGCTGTGCGGGGCAAGAAGGGCAGAACGGGGGCTTGCGGTCCTCTGAGAGACCAGTCACCAACGTGGGCACCTGCTATGTCCCAGGCTGTCTTCCCTCGAGCTAGTATTTGGTAAACTTCCAAATAATCGCCTCGCAGCGGGCATGGCAGTCTGCTACAGAAAGAGGAGTTCAGGGGAAGGGGGACCCCTAGCTGTACCCCGCCTGCGGCCACCTGCAGAGAGCCCTCCTGGTCACCAGCTGCAATAATCTGGGAGCGCTCAGCAGCAGCCTGTGGTGTGAGTGGAACCATGGGGTCCAGTCCGCAGCCCCAGCCCCGCCTGTGCCCACCCCGTCCTGCTCCCAGGAAAGGCTGGCTGGACCCTGAGCTGCCACAGCAGGCTGGGCTCTTAGAAGGCCCCTGGAGACGGTGGGGAGCCCCTGAGGCATTGTCTCCCCTCCCTCCGCACTTGACTGAGTCTATGGGGTGCGATCAGGATTATGGAGAATGTCTAGATTTTAAAAATTATTGTGGTAAGAGACACGTTGCACAAATCGCCGCTCAAATCCTCCCCCTTGTTTTGAGCACACTCATCCTATCATCCTTGCCCCTCCTGAAACAGTTCTCGAAGTCCTCCTTCTTGAGTGTCTTTAGGAGGGGCGATCAGAAACACAGCGAACGCTGCCGCGGGAGACAGCCGACAGAAAGGCAGCTCACACAAACACGGCCGTGGGTCCTCGTCTGCCTTACTCCCCGGAGCTGGCGCCGTGTGACTTCTGGCTCTTCTCCAAAGTCAAAATGACCCCCAAAGTCAACATCCCGGGGAGCCGTGGACAGCGCAACTAAACACCCTCAGGAAAGAGGACTTCCAGAGCTGCTACAAAAAGTCCCAGGAATGACGGGATAAGTGTGTTTGAAGCAAGGGGATTAATGGCAATGTGCCTTTCACTGTAGTAAACTGTTTTAAAACTTAACCATTCATTGTGTTTTTAAAATCACACGTCAGGGCATCTGAAACGAACAGACATTTCTCAGACAAAGAAGTAAAAGCAGCAAGTAAATATATGAAAAAATGTTCCACATCACTGGTCATCTGAGAGATGCAGATGAAAACAACACTGAGGTTCCACCTCACCCCACAAAGAAGGGCTGCTATCAAGAAATCACTCAATAAATAACAAAGGTTGGTGGGGTTGTGGAGAAACGAACACACATCTCAGACAAAGAAGTAAAAGCAGCAAGTAAATATATGAAAAAATGTTCCACATCACTGGTCATCTGAGAGATGCAGATGAAAACAACACTGAGGTTCCACCTCACCCCACAAAGAAGGGCTGCTATCAAGAAATCACTCAATAAATAACAAAGGTTGGTGGGGTTGTGGGGAGAAAGGAACCCTTCTCCATTGTTGGTGGGTGTGCAGACTGGCACAACCACTATGGAAATCGATATGGAGATACCTCAAAGAGCTGGGACTAGAGGTTCCATTTGACCCAGCCATCCCTCTGCTGGGTATCTTTCCAAAAGAATTAAAAGAATCATACCAGAGTGATATGTGCACACCCATGTTTATAGCGGCACAGTTTGTAATAGCTAAAACTTAGAAACAGCCCATTTGCCCATCAGTTGGAGATTGGATAAAGATATGTTTTTTTCTATAAAATGGAATACTACTCAGCCATAAAGAATGAGAAATTAGATTTATTCATAGGAAAATGGATACACATTGAGGATATACTCCTAAGTGAAATAAGTCACACACGTGTAAATACCGAATAGTTTCTCTGGCATGAATAAATTGTAATAGTACATAAGATCCTAATGAGATAACTGACATTGTGAAGTGGGAAGAAAAGGGTTAAAGGTGTAGGGAAAGTGGGAAGGGTAGGAGGAAGATAATAAGGGAAAAGAAAAAAATGTGAGAAAATGAAAAGATGGAAATAAAGTATTTGTAAATGGGGAGGGGAGGAGGGAGTGAAGGGAGGGCAGGGACAAGGGGAAAAAATGAGAACCAAGACCTGTCATGTAAAGGTACAAGATCCCAATAATGAATGTAATTGCACTGTATACCTAAAAATGTACCAATAAAGTCAATAAAAAATAAATAAATGAGAACCAAGACCTGTCATGTAAAGGTACAAGATCCCAATAATGAATGTAACTGTACTGTATACCTAAAATGTAAACTCAATAAAAAAACAATTGGTTCAACTATTTAAAAAATAAAATAAAATCACACATCATACTCATGTCCAGCTGGGCCCCGGGCAGTAGCTCAGGATGCGCGTGACAAGGTAGGGGGTCCAGAAGGAGGTCGAGTCCTGTGCCCACCAGCCTCTTGCGGTTGGATTCCAGGTCCTCCACTTCCGACTTGGCCCCCACATCTGCCAATCATGGAGACCCCTGGGCCAGCGAAGGGGCCTCGTCAGGAAGGAGAATTGTGCTCAGCTGATGGGCCTGTGCTAGGGTGGCTTCTTCAGTGGCCCAGCCAATGCTCCAAGCCCTGGATGCTGAGTGTGCAGGGGGCCAGTCGAGACCGCTGGTTTCACCAAGAGGAGAGAAATGCTTGATCCAGAGACTAAATGCACACAGCCCTTATCCAAGCTTCCTCCTCTCTCACTTCCGGTATTTGGGCCCCATTTAGTAATTAGCAAAGTTGAGAAAGTTTTACTGATCAAGCTG